TAGTAGAAGAATAAAAAGAATTGTTTTGAAGCGTGATCTCTTTTTTAAAAAAAAATTTAAAATTTATTAATTTAAGATACAATAAAATTTAAAACTCTTCCAGAGTTGAATGTAAAACTCTAACTTTACATAAAAATTTATATTACTTAAAAAGTCACTAATTATAAGAATGTATCTTTATAGAAAAACATTATTTTATAAAAATACCTTTTTGGTTTTCAAAAGTTATATTTGATTTTTAAATATGTATTTCAAATTTTGAATTTAATAAAATAAATTAATAAATCCGAAAATAATAAAAAAATAATGTTATGGAAGTCAAGCCCCATGGTGTCCCCAGTGTCTATCTTTGATTATATATATGAGGGGATAAGGCTCAATTTAATTTAGGTTTTACTTTATTTATCTATTTGTTGATAAAAAGTAGACATTTATAAACTCATTTAAGAACTTTTTTTGATGTGGATGTTAACATTTTGTAAACTATTCAACAAAAATTTCATAGAAGAATTATACTTTTGCTTAATAAATCAAATCTTTAACATTAAACAAGGTTAAAATTCTAATTTTTGGGCAATTTCTCAATTTTTGTGTGAAATTATATATGTGGCCTTTTTAAAATGAAACCTTGAATAACGAGGTAAAAAGTAAATTTTCTTATCATCAATGTTATAACAATTATAAGAGTTTATCATTTTATATTTTAAATTATACTAAATTATAAAATAAATACGGTTAGATAGAGAAAACTTCAACATTAAAAAATTTATTTTTTATTTAATTATTTATATTTTATAATCTAATATAATTTAAATTTTAAAACACTTTTTCAAAATTATAATACAAAAGAAAGTCACAAGACATATACGTAATATATATATGAAAAAATATTACAGTCTATATAGTGTTACCCAAGCAAGACGTGGGCAATTACATCAGTCTGAATATAGTAAGAATAAAAAAGGTACACAACCAGCCAAATATTTCGTGCTCAAATCCTAGACACATATCTAGTTTGATTTAGTCTCAAAATGAGGTGGTTTTAGCCTATGAAATTGAACCCCACCGACCCTCTTTCTTTCTAATTAGCTTCTAAGCTTCTTTCCTCTGCTTTTGGTAATTATAAAAATCTTCACAAGCACCACATACTTCTTGTGCAGGAATGAGTTGTAATGTGCCTTTTGGCTGAAAACAGAGAGAAAAGTGTTTTTGTTTATTCTTGAATTTCTTAATTTGCTAGCGGATGTTTCGACACAAAAAGATAAAGATTGGTCACATCAGGGTAAAACAAAATTATTTTGTCTCCTAAGCATGTTTTGGGTTTGAAAATAGAAAAGATATCGAATATCGAGGTCAAAGATTGAATAATTTCTTACTTTCGGCGACAAAAATAATTTTAACTTAATACATTCCCCAATCCGATGCGGTTAATTTTTTTATAAATTCATTTACAAAAGTTTAAAAGTTTTTATAATAATTTTAGATGGTTTTCCTAAAATATTATTTTATGAAAATTTTAACTAAATAATATTTTATATTATCAATAATTTGTTGGTTCGAATAAAAGAAATTTAATTTTTTTAAATAAAATTTTAAATTTAAATATTGTGAATGAAAAAATAAGTATTGAGAGAGTTTTCATTCTAATAGAGTCTAATGCGACTCAATTCTAGATTAATTGAAATTCAATATAATTATCAAATATCAAAAAATTAATACAAAGAAATAATATCTTATATCATAAAAGTTCTTGATAAAGTAATTGTTTATTCTCTACATAAACTTTCTCAGTAGATTCAAGTTCAGATCTTTCTCATTCTCCCATTTCCCACAAGTATAACTTTGTTAAAAAAAAAAAAAATCTTATATCAAAAAAATTGAAAGACATACTCAAGTTATTATTAGCTATTTAATAATTTCTATTTTACCTATCAAAAATAATAATAATTTCTATTTTAAAGTTATGATTAACGATTCTAAAGTACTATTTAAGCCTACTTGTATTGTAGGAAATTCTCTCAAAACATGTGTTGATGGATATGATGAATGCATGGGTTCAATATTGGAAAGCATGTCATTAGTCTCATTTTAGCACTTGTTTTGTCTTGTTACCCCAATTTCCATGTTTTGACAGTCTATCATCAAAGCCTAGGCTCTTAGGCCATTAGGTGACATACTCTAATTGTACCCTAATATTTATGATGTACCAACACACTCAAAATATAGCAATGTATTCATCTTCCTCTTAATGCCACCACACATTTCAAAAATCAAAAGATGCTAAGAAGACAAATTAGTAAAAAAGTTTTACCAATCAACAAGTGCATGTGCCAGCATTATTCAAGAGTCCATAAATAGTTTTAAAATGCTCTGCATTTCCTTAAAAAATAATTTATTTACCATTTTTGAGGAATTTTTGCCCTAAATAAGGGTACAAAGTCAGAGAAAATTTCCCTCGGGGTGGTGGTTGTCATCAGAGCCCTAGATAATGACCATTCACGCTTCTTGATTTTATTTGTACTAAATAAATCTATGAATCTGTGAGAAGTACTCTGTGCCTACCCTCTAGGAGGACAGCATCTTCCTAGCATAGCATAGAGCATCAATGCCAAAAAAAAAGAAAAAAAAAAAAGAAAAAGAAAGAAGTGAAAATAATATTTATACCCACCAGGTACGTACATACCTAATTGTTGAATTCAATGGTTGTGTTTTTCTTTAAGAAAAAAAAAATTATTGTGTAAAATGCAACGACTGTTTTAGTAACACAGTGTTTTCCTAAAATGGTTATCTTTTAAGGTTTAGATCCTAAACGTGAACTTCTTGAGAAAGTATCAACTTTAGTCAATTAACTATTAAAGTGCAATTTAGTTGATTGAGTTCTCAACAAATAATTTTTTTTAATATGCAAGGACTTTTGAGATAACAATTTTCTTAATTAAATTTTACATGCCAAATAAGCCTTCTAGGGTTGAGTTTTTACCTTTAAACTTCTTAGTGTTCCTAATTTTTATCAAATTCTCTAAAAAAAAATTACAATTATTTAAGATAAATTCATGACTCAATACTTACATAAGCTTTATTTGAATAACAAAAAAATATGAAAATATAAATGTTAATTTTACATTTTTTATTTAAAAATATTAACTTTCAATCTTTTTTAAAGATGTTAATTTTTTTTTAAAAATTTATTTATCAC